TTTTTTTTTAATTTGAGGTGGAGTTTCACTCTTGTTGCCCAGGCTGGAGTGCAATGGTATGATCTTGGCTCGCTACAACCTTCAACTCTGGAGTTCAAGTGATTGTCCTGACTCAACCTCCCAAGTAGCTGGGATTACCGGTGTGTACCACCATGCCCAGTTAATTTTTTATTTTTAATAGAGAAGGGGTTTCACTATGTTCGTCAGGCTGGTCTCGAACTTCTGATCACAAGTGATCCACTCATCTCGAACTCCCAACGAGCTGGAATTACAGGCATGAGCCATTGCACCCGGCCCTGAATTATAATCTTTAAGACAAGATTTCTCATGCAAACTATGGCATGCTGTAACATACGGCAATTCTGAAAGGAATATATGTGGTAGCTAAGTCTCAGAGTATCCATTGCTCAGAAAGACAGAAACAAGGACTCTTCAGATGCCTTAAAGCCTCAGATTCACCGAATTACTCAAAACTAAATTAGTGGCCAGGTGCAGTGGCTCACTCCTGTAATTCCAGCACTTTGGAAGGCTGAGGCAGGAGGACTGCTTGAGCCCAAGGGTTTGAGGCCAGCCTGAGCAACACAGTGTCTCTATAAAAAATACAAAAAATTATTCAGGCATGGTGGTGCACACCTGAAGTGTAGCCCCAGCTACTCTGGAGGCTAAAGTGGGAAGGTCACTTGAGCCTGGGAGGCTGAGGCTGCAGTGAGCCATGATGATGCACTTCAGCCTGGGTGACAGAGTGAAACTCTGTCAAAAACAAACAAACACACACAAAAAAACTGAAATAGTGGTACCCCAGGTACATACTCTTGTCCTTTGATTATCTTTAATCTTAGCCTATTTCATTATAGAATTCTAAAATCCTTAATCCATAATTCATAAAAATATTTGCATGACACAAGATTCTCCCCATTTTATAGGTAGGTAAATTATTCAAGAACAGAAAGGCACAGTAATTTACACTAGCACAATATCTCCCTTTAGAGAGCATAAAGTGTTCTACATTATTTTTTTATTTTTTATTTATTTTATTATTATTATTTTTTTTAAAGATGGGGTTTCACCATATTGGTCAGGCTGGTCTCGAACTTCTGACCTCAGGTGATCCGCCTGCCTCAGCCTCCCAAAGTGCTGGGATTACAGGCGTGAGCCACCATGCCTGGCAAGTGTTCTACATTCTAAGCATCTCTCATCAATGATGAGAAAATGGGACTCAATTTCAGCTTCATCTCCAATCAACAAAAGATGGCTGCAGAAAGGGCAACAAAAGCTGAATTTTCTTTTTTTTTTTTTGGGACGGAGTTTCACTCTTGTTACTCAGGCTGGAGTGCAATGGCGCGATCTCGGCTCACCGCAACCTCCGCCTCCTGGGTTCAGGCAATTCTCCTGCCTCAGCCTCCTGAGTAGCTGGGATTACAGGCATGCGCCACCATGCCCAGCTAATTTTTTGTATTTTTAGTAGAGACGGGGTTTCACCGTGTTGACCAGGATGGTCTCGATCTCTTGACCTTGTGATCCACCCGCCTCGGCCTCCCAAAGTGCTGGGATTACAGGCTTGAGCCACTGCGCCCGGCAAAAACTGAATTTTCTATTGATGAAAACTCCTAATGACCTCTTCAAACTTCCAGAGCAAAAGCTTTTGTTTTGTTTTGTTTTTGAGACAGTCTCATGCCATCCCTCAGGCTGGAGTGCAGATCACAGCTCAATGCAGCATGGAACTCCTGGGCTCAAGCTATCCTCCCATTTTAGCTTCCTGCAGCCTCGACCTCCTAGTCTTAGCTGATCCTCTCACCTCACCCTCCCGGGTAGCTGGAACTACAGACATGTGCCACCATGCCCAGCCAATTTTTTGTATTTTTCTGTAGAGGTAGGGTTTTGCCTTGTTGCCCAGGCTGGTCTCTAACTCCTGGGCTCAAGTGATCTGCCTGCCTTGGCCTCCAAAAGTGCTGGTATTACAGGAGTGAGCTACCATGTCTGGCCACAAGTTCTTGTCCTCATTTTTTTTCTTATTGTTCTCATGGTCCCTTTAAATAATCTGCTTATACATATATAATTCTTACAGCTCAATTATAAAAATAATTGTTACAATTCAATTAAAAAATAGGAAAAGGTTTGGGCACAGTGGCTCATGCCTGTAATCCCAGCACTGAGGTAGGCTGAGGAGGACAGATTGCTTGAGCCTAGGAGTTAGAGACCAGCCTGGGCAACATAGTGAGAAACTGTCTCTACACAAAATACAAAAATTAAAGCTGGATGTGGTGGCTCATGCCTGTAATCCCAGTACTTCAGGAGGCCGAGGAAGACATTGCTTGAGTCCAGGAGTTCAAGACCAGCTTGGGGAACATAGCAAGACCTCATCTCTTAAAAAAAAAAAATGAGTTGGGCATGGTGGTACATCCCTGTAGTCCCAGTTACTCAGAAGGCTATGGTGGGAGGATCGCTTGAGATCCTAGGAGGCAGAGGTTGCAGTGAGCTGAGATCATGCCACTGCACTCCAGCCTGGGCTACAAAGTGAGACTGTCTCAAAAGGCAAAGGATCTAAATAGATATTTCTCCAAAGAAGTTATACAAATGACTAGTAAGCTCATAGAAATGTTCAACATCATTAGCTATCAGAGAAATGCAAATCAAAACCACAATAAGATACCACTTCATACCCACCAGGATGGCTATAATCAAAATTATAGGTAAGTGTTGGCAAGGATGTGAAGAAATTGGAACCCTCACAGACTTCTGGTAGAAATGTAAAATGGTGTAGCAGCTTTGGAAACAAAGTCTGGTCATTCCTCAAAAAAGTTAAACACAGAGTTACCAAATGATCTAGCAATTTCACTCCTAGGTAACTATCCAAAAGAAACAAAAACATCCAGACAAAAATTTGTCCATGAATGTTAAAAGTAGCATTATTCACAATAGCCAAAAAGTAGAAACAACCCAAATGTCCATCAAATGATGAATGGATAAATAAAATGTAGTATATCCATACAATGGAATATTATTTTGGTGGCTGGTTGTGGTGACTCACGCCTGTAATCCCAGCACTTTGGGAAGCCGAGGCAAGTGGATTGTTCGAGCCCAGTAGTTTGAGACCAGTCTCGGCAACATAACTAGACATTGTCTCTACAAAAAATATTTAAAAATTAGCTAGCTGTTGTGGCACATGCCTGTAGTCCTAACCACCTGGGAGGCTAAGGTGGGAGGACTCCTTGAGCCTAGGAGGTCCAGGCTATAGTGAACTGTGATTCTGTCACTGCATTCCAGCCTGGGTGACAGAGAATGACCCTGTCTCAAAAAACAATTTTTTTTTAATGTATAAGAAATATTATTTGGCAATAAAAAGAAGTGAAGGCCAGGTGCAGTGACTCACGCCTGTAATCCCAGCACTTTGGGAGGCTGAGGTGGGTGAATCACAAGATCAGGAGTTCAAGGCCAGCCTGGCCAAGACAGTGAAAAAAGAAGTGAAATACTGATATAAGATACAATATGGATGAACCTTGAAAACATTATGCTAAGTAAATAAAGCTTGTCAGAAAACTACGATTTTACTTTATGTTATTTATTTTGAGAGAGAGCTTTGCTCTGTCTTCTGGGCTAGAGTATGGTGGCATGATCTCGGCCCACTATAATCTCCACCTCCTCCTGGCTCAGCCTTCCCAGTAGCTGCGACTACACGTACCCACCACCACACCTGGCGAATGTTTGTATTTTTAGTAGAGACGGGGTTTCACCATAATGGCCAGGCTGTTTTAGTGGTTGCCAGGGGCTGAGGAGTGATTAGGAGTGATGAATAAGGGGTGTGGGGTTTCTTTCTGGCATATTGAAAATATTCTAAAATTTATTATGCTGTTTTACGTACAACTCTGTGAATATACTAAAAACAAATGAACTATTTGTTTAACTAAATAAATTGTATGGTATATGGATATCTCAATAATTTTTTATAAAACTTTTTGTTTTTGTTTATTTATTTATTTTATTTTATTTTGGAGTTTTGCTCTTGTTACCAAGGCTGGAATGCAATGGCGCAATCTCGACTTACTGCAACCTCCACCTCCTGGGTTCAAGCGATTCTCCTGCCCCAGCCTCCCGAGTATCTGTGACTACAGGCACGCACCACCATGCCCAGGTAATTTTTGTGTTTTCTAGTAGAGACGGGGTTTCACCTTGTTGATCAGGATGATCTAAATCTCTTGACCTTGTGATCCACCTGCCTCCGCCTCCCAAAGTGCTGGGATTATAGGCGTGAGCCACCATGTCCAGCCTCAAAACTTTTTGTTTTAAAATAATTTTTTAAAAATTTATTTTAAAATTTCAAATAATTAAAAAAAAATCTTCTGTTCAGTTCAGACTTAGTTAAAAAATAACCTGTTGGCAGCTAGCTCTCCTTTTAAAAATCTACCCATGGGCCAGGCACAGTGGTTCATGCCTGTAATCCCAGCACTTTGGGAGGCCGAGACAGGCGGACTGAGCTGAGGAGTTTGAGACCAGCCTGGCCAACATGGTGAAACCCCATTTCTACTACTAAAAATACAAAAATTAGCTGGGTGGTGGTGTGCACCTGTAATCCCAGCTACTTGGGAGGCTGAGGCAAGAGAATCACTTGAATCCAGGAGGCGGAGGCTGTGGTGAGCCAAGACTGGCCTACCAAACTCCTGCCTGGGCCACATGGTGGGACTCCATTTCAAAAAAAAAAAAAGGTCAAGTCGAATGATGAAGAAAAAAAAATGCATCCGTGTACACACAAACATAAGTTTGCATCTATACAGAAAGCTCAATGACCTTCCTGAAGCCCATCTGTGAACCACACTACAGGATACTTGCTCCCATTTCTCAAATTAATACATGATTAATAGAGTAATTGCCTAAGTACAGTATCCTATGTGACACTTTTAAAATGTAAGTCAGAATGGATGCGGTGGCTCACACCTGAAATCCCAGAACTTTGGAAGACCGAGGCAGGCAGATCCTCTGAGGTCAGGAGTTTGAGACCAGCCTGACTAATGTGGTAAAAACGCCTCTCTACTAAAAACACAAAATTAGCTAGGCATGGTGGCATATGCCTGTAATCCCACCTACTTGGGAGGCTGAGGCAAGAGAATCACTTAAACCCAGGAGGCAGAGGTTGTAGTGAGCTGAGATCGTACCATTGCACTCCAGCCTGGGCAACAAGATCGAAACCCTGTCTCAAAAAAAAAAAAAAAAAAAAAAAAAAAAAAATTTTGACTCTTCTCTGAAACTGCCAATAGCTTTCCATGTCACTCAAGTCAAACTCAAAGTCTTTACAACGTCCAGAAAACCTTAAAAGAACTGCCTCCTGCCCACTTCCATCTCCTACCATTCTTCTTCACTGTGGTCCTGTCACACTGACCTCCCTGCTGTTTTTCCACACAAGTCAGGAATATTTCAGCCTCAGGGCCTTTGCACTTGCTAATTCCACTTTTAAGTTCTTCACTTTGATATCTACCTGGCTCCCTTACTTACTCAAGTCTTTGTTCTAATGTCACTTCCTCAGATATGTTTTCTCTGCCTATCCCACATAAATTAGGACCTCCTTGTCACTCTAGTCCCCATACCATGCTTTTTTTTCTCCCTTTCCAACCCTCACCATTTTTTATTTTTATTCTCAAAACTTACTAACACCTAAAATACAATAAATTGTTTATTGTCTTGCATTAGAATATAAGCTCCTTGAGGGCTGGAACTTTGTCTTTTGTTGATTATTGTTTACCCCAGATCTCAGAACAGTGCCTGGCATACAGCAGCCACCAAATATTTTCTTGAATTAATAGAAAAAAAATAAAAAATCTTTTTTTTTAAGGCATCCATGGGAAAGCAAAAAATCTTATCATAAAGAAATGTGTAAGACGCAGACATGATACCTACATACAGGTAACACTAGTAATGATTGAGGACAATACTTACTGCAGCACCAAACTTCTGCTGGAACTGATCAATGACTGTGTATGTCACCTCCTCTTCCTCTACAGGACAAAGGTGGCATTAGATATATTTCTATTCCTCAGCAACAGAATAGCTCTCCCCCTAATTTTGGCCATACTCATATATTCCTACTCTATTGCAACTTGAATGTCTAATGTTATTTCATTATCACCTGCATTAGCCCATCACACAGTGAACACTAATTAACATCTTCTTTGTCAAATGAGAGTAAACAAAAGCCCCACCAATTGACCTGTTTACATATCCTGTGATAATCCAGTAATGTTTCTCTCCTTATAGGTTTATATCTTGAATACTTCAAAGAATACACTATGAGACTAGTTTCCCTCTTGTCACCCAGGCTGGAGTGCAATGGTGCAATCTCTACTCACTGCAACCTCTGCTTCCTGGGTTCAAGCGATTCTCCCATTTTAGCCTCCTGAGTAGCTGGGATTACAGGGGCCTGCCACCACACCCAGCTAATTTTTGTATTTTTAGTAGAGACAGAGTTTCACTATGTTACCCAGGCTGGTGTCAAACTCCTGACCTCAGGTGATGTGCCTGACTCAGCCTCCCAAAGTGCTGGGATTACAGGTATGAGCCACTGCACCTGGCCAAAATTTTTAAATATTTTCTTTAAATTGAGATGATGTTTCACCATGTTGCCCAGGCAGGACGTGAACTCCTAGGTTCAGGCAATCTGTACAATGCACCCACCTTAGCCCCCTTGAAGTGCTGGGATTACAGGCATAAACCACCATACCCAGCCTTATTTTATTATTTTTTTATAGAGATGGGATCCCATATGTTGCCCAGGCTGGTCTTGAACTCCTGGCCTCAAACAATCCTCCTACCTTGGCCTCCCTAAGTGCTAGAATTACAGGCATAAGCACTTGTGCCTGGCCTTGTTGTTTTTTTTTTCTTGAGACAGAATCTTGCTCTGTTGCCAGGCTAGTGTACAGTAGCACAATCTCAGCTCACTGCAACCGCCACCTCCTGGGTTCAAGTGATTCTCCTGCCTCAGCCTCTTAAGCAGCTAAGATTATAGGCATATGCCACCACGCCAGGCTAATTTTTATATTTTTAGTAAAGATGGGGTTTCACCACGTTGGCCAGGATGATCTCAATCACGTGACCTCATGATCCAGCAGCCTTGGCCTTCCAAAGTGCCAGGATTACAGGCATGAGACCCCAGCCTTCTTTGTTTTTAATAAAAGCAAACAAACAAAAAACCTCCAAAGTTCCTCGTCTCACTTCAGAGTAAAAGTTTAACTCCCACTTGGGCATGGTGGCTCATGCCTGTAAGCCCAGCACTTTGAGAGGCCAAGACGGACGATCACTAGATCAGGAGTTTGAGACTAGTCTGGCTAACATGGTGAAACCCCGTCTCTACTAAAAATACAAAAAAGGTGTCTCTACTAAAAATACAAAAAAAAAATTTAAAAATTATTTTTTTGTATTTTTAGTAGAGACACCTATAGTCCCAGCTACTTGGGAGGCTGAGGCAGGAGAATTGCTTGAACCTGGGAGGTGGAGGTTGCAATGAGCTGAGATCCTGTCACTGAACTTCAGCCTGGGTGACACAGCAAGACTCCGTCTCCAAAAAAAATAAAAATTAGCTGGGTGTGGTGGCACACACCTACAATCCCAGCTACTCAGGAGGCTGAGGTAGGAGAATCACTTGAACCTGGGAGGCAGAGGTTGCAGTGAGCCAAGATCCACCCACTGCACTCCAGCCTGGAGGATAGGACGAGACTCTGTCTCAAAATATATATATATATATATATAATTAAAAATTAGCTGGGCATAGTGGCACACATGCCTGTAATCCCAGCTACTCAGGAGGCTGAGATAGGAGAATCACTTGAACCTGGGAAGTGGAGGTTGCAATGAGCCAAGATCAAGCCACAGCACTCCAGCCCGGGGGACAGAGTGAGACTCTGTCTCAAAAAAAAAAAGTTTAAGTCCTCGCAAGCCTCTAAGAGCTCCTCTTTGACTCACCTGTTCCATCTCATGTACTGCTTCTCTCCTTGCTCCAGCTGCTCTGATCTCCTTGCTGTTCCTTCAAGATCCTGGTATGTTCCTATCTCAGTGACTTTGTATTTGCTTTTTTTTTTGCCCCAGCCTAAAGCACATTTCCCCAAGATATCCCTAGAGCTTGGTCCCTCACCTCCTTCAGATCTTTACACAAATATTATCATTTCAGCAAGATTTGTCCTGGATATCCTAAAATTGCAAAACCACCCTCCCTACATATTACTTCTATTTTTTTCTCCTTAGCATTTGGCACTATTACACTATATATTTAATTTATTTACCTTATTTAGCATCTGTATGCTGCTCAATAAGAGGAGGGATACCATACTTCAGAATCCCCAATGAATGAGTGTGCCCCAATAAATGAGTGCACATGCAGTATGAACTCAATTATTAAATTAAAAAATAAATCACCTGCCGGGCGCGGTGGCTCAAGCCTGTAATCCCAGCACTTTGGAGGCCGAGACGGGTGGATCACGAGGTCAAGAGATCAAGACCATCCTGGTCAACATGGTGAAACCCCATCTCTACTAAAAATACAAAAAATTAGCTGGGCATGGTGGCGCGTGCCTGTAATCCCAGCTACTCAGGAGGTTGAGGCAGGAGAATTGCCTGAACCCAGGAGGCGGAGGTTGCAGTGAGCCGAGATTGCGCCATTGCACTCCAGCCTGGGTAACAAGAGTGAAACTCCATCTCAAAATAAATAAATAAATAAATAAATAAAAATAAATAAATCACAATATTTTATCTTAATTCAGAACCCAGAAGCAATGGCTCAACTAAGCATTCTATAGAGCATGTTGATTCAGGGTTACACCAACCCTAAACAGTGAAGAGAGTCTAGTTGAATTTGACTGACTTGGTTCAAAAAAAAGGAGAGCCTAGAAAATTCAGAGCCGCCATACTCACCTGATGGGCTGTACTTGAGGTCATTCAGCAGCGAGGTAGTTGGTGCTTCAGGGGCCGGAGAAAGAGACTCACATACATTTAGGACTTCAACTTTCATTTTCTCCATCCCAGTTCTTTCTGCATTTAGACTATCCTTACAAGAAACAACATCCAGATGGACTTGTTCTTTGTTGCTGATGCCACACACAGATTCTGCCACACATTAACGTTAAGGGCTGTGGTCCTTCATTAACCAGAGGACCCATTCATCCACTGCTTACATTGATTTGAGGTGCTATCTAACATGGATGAACACACACACACACACATGCTTTTTTTTGATACGGAGTCACACACTGTCACCTAGGTTGGAGTGCAATGGTGCGATCTGGGCTCACTGCCACCTCCACTTCCTGGATTCACTCGATTCTCCTGCCTCAGCACACTACCACATCCAGCTAATTTTTTGTATTTTTAGTCAAGATGAGGTTTCACTATGTTGGCCAGACTGGTCTCAAACTCCTGACCTCGTGATCTGCCTACCTTGGCCTCCCAAAGAGATGGGATTACAGGCCTGAGCCACCGCGCCCAGCCTATATATTTCTTCTCATTTTTATTTCCTCATGCCAAGGAATTAAGCAGCTAGTGAATTAGAGTTAAGGCTTTCTACCCTAATGTGCACATTTGGGAAACATCATAAGTAAGAAAATGATTCCATCTTACCTAACAGACGATGTGTTTTCTCTCACTGAGCCTTGTTCCACTTCATCTAGTAGTTCCACTGTAAAATAACCAAATGGCTTCCAACAGAGGCTCCAATCTGAAATAAATTAACTACTCTGCTACCCACACATCCCCAGTTTAACCATGTACTGCAAACAATAATTGGAAATGAAATGTTAGTCTACAGAGGCTTTTACTGGCCAGCTATAAATACAGAACAGACTAAAGTGTCAAAGACTCTCAATATTATATCCCTACAAAGCTTCTGGATTATTTAGAAGGATTAGGAACCTTTCTATGTATCTCACCCCTTTTCTTCTAGGGTAGATTTGTGGTCATTCAAATTAGTTCCAGACATTTATTTCCCACTCATCCTAATCTTAATGCACCTCCTCTCACATGGTACACTGTTTGAGGGTTTTCTCTTAAATTATTCACAAATCTGTCCCTAGCACTCTCACAGGCTAGCACATTAAAAAGTTCAGTGACATGAAAGGTAATGAAGGTTTAAATGGAAATATCAAAAGAATTATGAGAGAAATATTCCATGGAGATTGTGAAATCTTTTTGTTTTTAACCTAATTATGCAGGAAATGTAGGGAAATACTATATTCCACTGATTCTTTTTTTTTTTTTTTTTTTTTTGAGACGGAGTCTCACTCTGTCACCCAGCCTGGAGTGCAGTGGCCTGATCTCAGCTCACAGCAACTTCTGCCTCCCTGGGTCAAGTGATTCTTGTGACTAGGCCTCCTAAATAGCTGGGATTACAGGTATGTGCCACCACACCTGGCTAATGTATTCTGTTGATTCTAAGATACACATTTTAAACACCTGAAAACAGTCTGTTTGTTCCCAGATCCATGTAACATGTATTAAGAAAAAATAAATAGAACATCTGAAATTTGATGTGATTATAAGAAAGTTTAATTGACAGCTTCTTTTTCTTTCTTACAATGCAAAAAGAAATAGTGTGCCTTATAATTAATGGCATCTTACATTCAATGAGGTAGTTTTTTTTTTTTTGAGACAGAGTCTTGGGCTCTATCTCCAGGCTGGAGTGCAGTGATGCAATCTCGGCTCACTGCAACCCCCGTCTCCCAGGTTCAAGCGATTCTCCTGCCTCAGTCTCCTGAATAACTGGGACTACAGGTGCATGCCACCACACCCAGCTAATTTTTTTATTTTTAGTAGAGACAGGGCTTCACCATGTTGGCCAGAATGGTCTCCATCTCTTGACCTCATGGTCTGCCCATCTCAGCCTCCTAAAGTGCTAGGATTACAGGTGTAAGCCACTGAGCCCAGCCTCATTTTGGTACTTTTCAAGCAAAATGCCTCTATGTTTCAAATGTCTCTTTTCTCTGAACTATCTAGAAGTATTGAATCTGGGGCAGAGAAAAGGTAAAATTGACTAAAAAAATGCTGATTAGCCATGATTATCTTTCATCTTGACAATTCTTTTTTTTTTTTTTTTTGTTTTGAAATGGAATCTTGCTATGTGGGCAGGCTGGAGTGCAATAGCACAATCTTGGATCATGGCAACCTCCAACTCCCTGGTTCAAGTAATTCTCCTGCCTCAGCCTCCTGAGTAGCTAGGATTATAGGCACACACCACTACGCCCACCTAATTTTTATATTTTTAGTAGAGACGGGGTTTCACCACGTTGGCCAGGATGCTCTCAATCTCCTGACCTTGTGATCTGCCTGCCTTGTCCTCCCAAAGTGTTGGGATTACAGGCATGAGCCATCGTGCCTGGTGACAATTCTCATTGAAGGTGCTTTTTGGGGAGACTCGTCCGTGGTTGACTGGGCCACAGAACAAAGAAAGAAATGACTATCATTTGAGCTTAAAAATGAACAAAGCCTGTAATTCCAGCACTCTGGGAGGCTGAGGCAGGCAGATCACCTGAGGTCAGGAGCTCGAGACCAGCCTGGCCAACATGGAGAAGCCCTGTCTCTACTAAAAAAATACAAAAATTGGGTTGGGTGCAGTGGCTCACGCCTGTAATCCCAGCACTTTGGAGGCCAAGGGGGCAAATCATTTGAGGTCAGGAGTTTGAGACCAAGCTGACTAACATGGTGAAACCCTGTTTCTACTAAAAATACAAAAAAAATAGCTGGGTGTGGTGTGGTGGCACACCCCTGTAATCCCAGCTCCTGGGGAGGCTGAGGCAGCAGAATTGCTTGAACCCAGGAGACGGAGATTGCAGTGAGCCAAAACTGTGCCACTACATTCTAGCCTGGGCCAAAGAGTGAGAATCCGTCTCAAAAATTTTTATGTGTGTGTATATATATATATATGCGCGCGCACGCGCGCGCGCGCGCACACACACACACACACACACACACACACACACACACACACACGTTAGCCAGGCATGGTGGTAGGTGCCTGTAATCCCAGCTACTCAGAAGGCTGAGGCATGAGAATCGCTTGAACCCTGGAGACAAGGGTTGCAGTGAGCCAGGATCACGCCACTGCACTCCAGCCTGAGTAACAAAAAAAAACCCCATCTTAAAAAAAAAAAAAAAAAAAAGGATGAACGAAGGCCAAATCCTGGATAAGAATTTAGGAGGCAATGAATTCCGTGTGTACAAATCAAAAAGCTGGACAGCCTTCAGCCTTCTCAGTTGGGGAAATGATAGTAGTGATTCCTTCACTTCTCTCTACAAACCCATTCACAGCCTAGCTTTGCTCCAGTCCAGAGTTCTGTTTCACTGCAAAGGCTGATAGTGAAAATACAATTAAGATCTCCAACTACCACCACTATCCCTATCATTATAAAAGAGTATTCAAGGGACAGAGTGTTCATGACAGCATACTCAATGAGAAAGAATAGTTAGGTAGCTGACCAGACTTATATTACCTGAAGTGGCTCAGGATTGGCAGTCATTAATCTGATGAGATTTTCATTTCCTCCTAAATTCTAGTTTTCTTACAAAGCAAAGCAATCTTTCAAGCAGTAGTAAAGCCTCATTTATAGGAGTCCTTTCCTTTCCTCAAATCTGCCCCAAAGTGAGACGTGCACAGCCCTAAGAGGTCCCAGAACTCTCATTCCTCTGCCCCCTCTACCCAGCTCCTGATCTGTACTCCTCCTTAAAGGGCAGAAGCAGAAAGCTCGTGAGTCCTTGAAAGCAAGACATTTCAGACAATTGTAACTCCTCTTGCTAAATGGTTTGTGCTAGCAGAAATAAAGAATAAGGCTTTCCTGCTATTCCAAAGTCCAAAAAGCTCTGAAAACCAAAATTTTGTGTAACTTTTGGTGGCAGAACTGGACCTGATATGCTATGTATAGTCTGATTTTATTCCACTTAGTATGATTGTCCACCCATTTCTCTGGAGAAATGTGTTGTATTATAGAGTACTGTAGAGTACTGCCCAGATTTTCTGGAAGTGTTATGTAATATGAACATTATATACGCTGTTAATTTTCCAAAAGTCCAGAACAATTCTTGATTCTGAGACATCTGGCTCCAAGGTTTTCGATGAGGAATTGTGAATGGACTGTAAAATGGTAGCATTTTAAATAGCTTGCTTAGCAAGACAATCCCTTCCTGTTCACATTCCTAACTGCCTGCTGGCCCAAGTCACTAGTGATAAGCACCAACAGACCTGACATTGTAAAACCAAAATGATTATAATTCAGTAAGACTATTCTACTCACAGGGTGCCCACAGAAACAGTAAGAAAAGGGTCAATTATCAAATACCAACTTTAAGAAATCATAAGTGAAACATTAAAGGCAAGACAATATCCTATTTCATTTCAAATATTGGAATGAGGCACAGAAGTAAGTTTACTACTGCTGGAAATCTCAGTACTAGCATTCAAGGAACATGGGGGTCTCACCATTCACAATCTCATGCCCAAAAAACATCTTCACTCCTGGGATGCTCCGACCTGTCTCCACATTCTTCACTGTTAGAGAAAACAGTTCATTCGGTTAATAACAAATAATCGTTTCCTAAAACTCTATGAAAATATGATGCCTCTCAAAATTTCCCAAGTCTGAGTTTTATTTAAAAAAAAATCTCTGGCCGGGCGCGGTGGCTCAAGCCTGTAATCCCAGCACTTTGG